GGGATAATAACGTTCTTTGTTTCACGTTCTTTGTTTCTGCTAGTCCGTGCTCGTATTGGTGTTGTCATGGATGCATGCTGCTGCATGGTGCTGCTTGATGTTTGTATGGGGATGGTGGTGCTGGATGGCGGTGCTGGATGATGTTGTACATGGGGATGTTGATGGTCGTGCTGGATGATGTTGTACATGGGGATGCTGCTGGATGCTGCTTGCATGGGCATGGTCTTAGATGCTACTTGCATTTGGACACGGGTGCTGGATGATGCTTGCATGGGGATGGTGCTGGATGCTACTTGTAGGGTTTTGGCTGCAGGTTACGATACATGGTCATGCTTGCATGGCCGGCAGCTCCGGTTTCGCAATTACCTGCATCGGAAAAACTTGCTCAGATGAGAACGATTGAAAATATTCGCAGGTTCATATTGGTTGACAGCGGTTTTCAATAATCGTTGAGAAATCTGCATCGGATCATCTTCGTCAGATGTGCCTATCGCAGTCAACTGCATCGGATGAACTTGCTCAGATGAGAAAGACTGTGAAAACATTCGCAGATTCATATTGGATGACAACGATTTTTCAAGAATCGTTGAGAAATCTGCATCGGATCAACTTCGTCAGATGTGCCTACCGCAGTTAACTGCATCGGATGAACTTGCTCAGATGAGAAAGACTGTGAAAACATTCGCAGATTCATATTGGTTGACAGCGATTTTTCAATAATCGTTGAGAAATTTGCATCGGATCAACTTCGTCAGATGTGCCTACCGCAGTTAGCTGCATCGGATGAACTTGCTCAGATGAGAAAGGCTGGGAAAACATTCGCAGATCCATAGTGGTTGATCACGACTTTTCAATAATCGTTGAGAAATCTGCATCGGAACAATTTCGCCAAATGTGCCTATCGCAAATAACTGCATCGCATGAACTTGCTCAGATAAGAATTACACATCTTGCCTGTATGGAAAGCTTTGCTTACATGTCTTATACATATGTACATATGTAGTAAATCGACTCCACGTGCCAACTTGGACCATGTCATGTCAGGACATATCACGCATGATGTAACATGGCATGTTATATCATGTCATGTCCTATTATGTCACACGACGAGTTGTTTCCTACATCCTCAATCCCATGTTGAACCCTGTTTCGTATCACAGGCATGCTACTTTTGGCATGTTTCGTAGTGAGACTTTTCACTGAACTACTTACAGCAACGAAGCTTCAACAGGCCGAAACACCGACTAGCGTTGCCAAAACCCCAGTTTTAAGCATTTCCCAACTGTACATCGAAAAAAAACATAGCCTCAGCAAATACAACAATAAGCTTGTTTTATGTTGCAGGCGCGGTAGACTCGAAGTTAATGTGTCTTTCCAAAGGCGCAACAATCCCCCCTGTGGGGATGTTTGACTTCCTGTTTGGGAACTGGTGGAGCCAAGCGCGTTTGCTTGTTTATGTGACCATGAGTCCCATTTTGCCAGAAGGTGGACGAGAATGTTATATTTTCAGGATTGAGCAGGCAAAGTGACATGACCGTCAAGATGAATCAACGAATGGAAAGAAAACAGCTTGAAATCTAAGATGGTGGAATGTTGAAGGGAAGAGTTGAAAAAAAAACATCGCTGACTTCACTATGCACCGCAGTTGTTCAAACATGCAGTTTTGTGGCCTGAACAAACCCAGTCCACAATACAAGCAACCTGAGTTCGAGAAAACTGTTGAGCCACCAGAGTCGAAACAGTTTGCACACTCGGATTGGTGGAAGATGCAGCCGGTGGTCCCACATGCTAGTTTTAGCCACGAATAAACATGTTTAGACACGGCTTTTTAAACATGTTTTACACATGTTTACACACATTTAGACATGTTTAAACACGAAAATGCTCGCGTTTAAAAATAAAGATACACACGAACATATCTTTTAGACACCCCCCATTGACTGCAGCCGCAGCGTTTATTTTCCTTGTCT